ACTTTGAGATAGTGACAGGAACTAGACCTAGGATTTCATTAGCCTAGGGGACTCATCAGTGAGGAAACTCCTTCTACCAATCCAGGTCAGACACCTTCTTGGAAACTTAGGGTCTGTGAGAGTTGCCAACAGCTTTGAGAAGTTAAATGACTTGCCTAAGGTCACACAGCCAGTATAGGTCAGAGACAGAAGTTGAATTCAAGTCTTCCTGGTTTACTGGCCATGGACATCACAGAACATAAGAGAGAATTCAATATAAAACAATAAATTTCCATTTCAAGAAAACCTATAAAAATAAATACTACAAAGCTGTCCAATTTTTCTTTGCTTCCTTTTGTTTTCTTTTGTTCTCTGTTGTTCACTTTTTGCTCTCTCCCCCTACTCCAGAAAGCTACAATTAAAGCATGGATACACACACATACATACATACACACATAAACATACATGTATCCACATATACACATGCATAGATATGTATAAACATACACATATATACATATATATGCTTATACACATATGTAAGACTGTGCCATGCTTATTTCTACTTGGCATCTGTTTCTCTGAAGGTGGATAGCATCTTCCTTCATAAGTCCAAGTCTTCCCGTATTTTTCTAAATCAACCAACTCATCATTTCCTACACCACAGCAATATTCCAACCCAATCAGATTCTATCTGAGAGGTAGTGTGTGAAAGTTCCCCCATAATTTTCTGTATTTCTTGTATTCTTGGCTGCATAGGTTTTACTTATACAAGAAAATTTTAATTTAAAATAATCAAAATTATCCATTTTATACTTCAACAATTTAAGGCCTCATCTTTATAGCATTTCCTGAAAGCAACATATTGTTGAATTCAAATTTTTAATCTGCTATCTGTTTCCATTTTATGGATAAATTCATCCTATTCACATCCTAACCCATAATTACTTGTTATATATTTTTCTCCTTCCTATTTTTACCTCACTATCCTTCTCACCCTATTCCTATCCCTCCTCACTCTTCTGCTTTACTTCTACCCCTACCTTGCCCTCCTGTTCCTTAAACTACCCCCTCCAAGAATCCATCCCTTATCCTCTCCCTCCACCCCATCCCCTTGCCCTATTGTTTCTTTCCGAATTTATACATAGATACATACACACACATACACACATATGTTGTTTTTATACATACATACAGATACACACATATATATGTTGTTCCCTCTTTAATCCACTCATGTTAGTCTACACACCCTTATATACTGCTTCCCCTTATCCTGTTACCTTACCCTCTTATTTCTTTATAAATTTAGACTTTTATACCCTTCTAAATATATATGTTGTTCTTTATTTAATGCAGATTTGATATGAGTAGGGTTCCAGCACTATGAACCTTCCTCCTCCATCTGATTCTTTTGTATCCATTCTTCCTCTTGTGCCTCATTTTTGTGAGAAAATTATTCTTTTTACCTTTTCTGCTTAATTTGCCTTTTTAGAATCACATCATACTCAACTCTACCCCAATCTTACTTTCTAACTATCCAATTACTAATGACAATTTTAAGCATACAGCTTACATTTCCATGTATAAAAAGCAATGAATTTGCCCTTATTGATTACTTTGTAATTGGTCTTTGGTGTTTATCTTATATTTCTCCTGGCTCTTGTATGCCAAATATTCTATTAAGTTTGGTCTTTTTGAGACAAAATCCTGAAAGTCTATCAATTCATCAAATGTCCATTTTTTCCATTCAGGACTACACTTAACTTTGCTGGGTATGATATTTTTGGCCGCAACCTCAGTTCTTTTGCTCTTCAATTTATAGTGATCCAAGGCCTGTAGTCTTTTAATGTAGCTGCTGCTAGATCTTATGCAATTCTAACTGTGGCTCTGTGATATTGGAATTTTTTTTCTTGTTTCTTCTTAATAATGTTTTCTCCTTAATTTGGGGGTTCAGAATTTGGCCATGCTATTCCTCTAGGTTTTTATCCTGGGATCTCTTTCAGGTAGTGATTGGTGGATTTTTTTTCCTATTTCTACTTTCCCCTCTTGTTCCAAAACTTCAGGACAATTTTAAAATTATTTCTTGTATTATTGTATCAAGATTCTTTTTTTGATCATAGCTTTCAGATAGTCTGATTATTATTATGTTTTCTCTTCTTGATCTGTTCTCCAGATCAGTTGTTTTTCTTATGTTTCACATTCTCTTCTATTTTCATTCTTTTTATTTTGTTTTTATTATTTCTTGATCTCTTATAATGTCATTGGCTTCCCCTTGCCCAATTCTAATTTTGAAGGAGTTGTTTTCTTTCTTAAGATTCTGGGTCTCCTTTTCCAGTTAGTTGACTTTCTTTTCATAATCTTCTTGATTTTCTTGGATTGTTCTCATTGAAAAGTTTTTTTCTTCAGTCTCTCTTATTTGATCTTTAAAGTCTTTTTAGAGTTTTTCTAAGAATTATTTTTGGGCAGGTGACCATTTGATGTTCCTCTTTGAGATAGAAAAAAAATTTTTTTTTTGACTTCAGTATCCTCCTCTGAGGACAAACCCAGTCTTCTCTATTCCCATAGTAACTCTCTATGGTTTGGTTCTTTCTCCTTTACTTGCTCTTTTGTGTTCTGTTTAAATTTTTTTTTAAATTTTAGCAGCTTGTTATTATAGTCACCTCTAGTCCTGGGGTGTAGGGGATGGTTCCTTTGGCTTCAGGTCCTTCTGCTATCTTTTGAGCTTTGTCTTGGGCCCAGCCTCTGCACTCCTTTCTCCCTCCAAGTCACAGCTAGGACCCCCTGGCACACTATGCTGGAAATGCTCTTGCTCCTTGAGGACACTACAGTGGCTATAACCATCAGTTCTCCCCTCTGACTTGGAACCAAAACCAAGAACTCAGTTCTCCTATGAGTGCCCACAGCCAGTAGTGTCCTCACCCCACTGCTTCTGCCCTCACCAGGCATGTTCTGGTTCCTTTTTCCCCAGGGCCATTTCTGGGCAGCACAGCTGGGCCTGCTGTTATCCATGGGCAGCAGAAGTTCCTTCAATCTTCCCCTGTCTGACCCACCCTGCCCCCCACCTCCACTGTCTGTGAGGTGAGAATTCCAGTGACTGAGGCTGAGTCTACCTCCCAAATTCACTGTCCTCAGGGCTCATTGTTTGTTGTTTCAGCTGAAATTGCCTGGATGCATTTACATTTTACTCAAGCTGAACCTCCATCCTGAGATCATTCTTCAGATCTTCTCCACTTGTCCCAGGAGGACCACTGTTCTGTCCCAACTCTTGTTTTTTTTTTTTTTTCCCTGCTCTAGGTTCACCCTGAAATGCTATTTTTTCTTGTTTCTGGGAGAAATCTGGAGAGCTTCAAATTTTCTGACCTACTCTACCATCTTCCCAGAATCTTCTCCAACCCAGTTTAGATAATGAATTTTAACCACGCATTTGACAAAGTTTCTTATAATCTTCTTGTTTTGGAAAATACTTATATTTTATTTTTTCCAGTTACACATAATAACAATTTTTAACATTTGTTTTTTTAAAAGTTTGTGTTCTAAATTCTTTCCTTCCCTCCTTACCCTTTCCCCTCCTTGAGAAGGCAAGCAAATTGATATAGATATGTACAGTCATGCAGAACACATTTCCATATTGGCTAAATTGTTTAAAGAAAAGAAAACAAAAAACCAATCCAAGAAAAATAAGAAGAGTAAAAAAATATGCTGTGATTGGCATTCAGACTCCTAGTTCTTTCTTTGGAGGTAGATAGGAGTTTTCACCTTATGTTCTTGTGGCCAAATAGTGAGATGTGGCCTAGAAGATGGTGCAGTTAGCTGGATTCAGAGCTAGTTGAATGGTCAGATCCCCAAAGTACTCTTAAATGGTTTGCTATCAATTAGAAGGAGGTCTCCAGTGGAGTGCCCCAGGGATCTGTGCTTGGCTCCATGCTGTTTAACCTAGAATCATAAAGGCATGAATGGTGTGCTTATTAAAGATCCCCATGACACAAACCTATATAGGTGAGCTAATGTACTAGATGACTGAATCAGAATCCAAAAAAGATTTTGATGGGCTCTAAGGCCAAATCTAAGAAGATGCATTTAATAGGGATACATGTAAAGTCTTATATCTGGGCTCAAAAAATCAGCACAAAAATATAAGCTCAAAGTTTATCTTAAGAGGACTGACAACCTCTATATGAGTCAACCAGGTGAGCCAATAAACAAAAGGGATTTTAAGCTACATGGAGGGAGGGATAGTGTCCAAGCCTGTGCCAGGTGATTGTCCCTCTGTCTTCCACCCTGGTCAGAACCTATCCAAAGGATTGTGTTGAGTTCTGGCCATCACATTTTAGGAAAGTTGTTGATATGTAGGAAGGTGACAAGATGGGGTCTTGAGATCCTGTCATTTGGAGAAGAGTCATAACTAGGAACTTGGATACCCAAGAGAAATTCAGTTGGGGGCGGGGTAGAGAAGTGGGGCAGGTGGAGGATCCAAGGTATGACCACTCCTATGACCCACACTGTGCCAGGCACTGTGCTAAGTGTTTTTTAGAAATATCATCTCATTTGTGCTTCAGGTAGCCCTGAGACAGTAGTTATGAGAATTGAGGAAACAGAAAAACATGGAAGACAAGGTGTTGGAAAGGGATACTGAACCTCTTGGGAAGGAGGAAGAGTGACCTGGAGATGCCTAGAGGACAGTTATCAGGATGGAGCACACTCTAAAGGAGGAGTTTGTTAACAATAGGGAATTCCAGAGGGTACAGTATGAGTGGTTAATGGAGAGAGAAAAGATTGGGGAGGGTGAGGGCTGGGTGGAAGAAGGGAGAAGAGACGGTGCTTGGAGCTCTCCTCTGCCTCCCATGTCCTCCCCACCTCTGCTTATCCCAGCTGTCTCATATAATGAGGTCCCCAGGTGGGGAGAAGGGGCATCATGGACCCCAAGGATGTCTTTTGGGGAGGCAAAATGTTAGATAAACACTAGGTGTTGTTGTTATTGTTAAGGTTCTCTTCTTATTACCCTTCTCTGCCACCCACAGGGAAATGCATCTGTCTAGGTGAGAGTATTGCTCGATCAGAACTCTTCATTTTCCTCACCACCATCCTGCAGAATGTCTCCCTGGTCTCCTCCAAGCCCCCTGAAGACTTGGACATCAGGCCCCAGGAGAGTGGCTTAGGGACAGTGCTCCAAAACTATGAGCTCCACTTTCTGCCCTGCTGATAGGAAGGGTCTTCAGGTAAACGTAGACAGAGGGAATCAGCCTGGTGTCATAGACTGATCTGTGTTTTGAGTCAGAAGAAGTGGGCTCAAGTTCCAGTACCATGACAAGGATTGAACTAGCTCTGTGTCCCTGGACAAATCACCTCTCCAGGACTGGGAAGTCAGAGTAGATGATACAATTTACTTCAATTTAGTTCAGTTCCACAAGCATTATTAATTTCTCACCATGATCTCTCAAGGTTTTTCCAGATCTAACAGCCTGGATTTTATTCTTCTGTCAGTCCAGTCCCCAGTGGTGGATTACCACAAAACTAGTAAATCTCCCCATGCTCTACTCTGATTGTTCATTATCTTTCCCCATGATGACCTACCCTGCTTCATTACCCATGGAGTCTTGATAGTGGGGCTTGCTTTTGAAGGTGGGAAGACCCTTCATCAGGACAAGGCCCTAGGAGTAGGAACAGGCACAGAGGTGACAATGGAGGGGATTCCAACTAAGCTGACCTAGATGAAGAGAGCTGTTGGGGAAAGAGAGGTGGGTATCTCAGGGGAGGGAATGGCAGGTTTGGGGTTAAGGAGGATGAGGGAAAGGCTAGGACCAGATAGTGGAGGCTGATGGGTTTGAGGTTGGCAGTGAGAGAGGCCAGATGGGCTGGATCAGAGGGAGCATGGGGGGCCATTGCTGAGTCTCTGTCCCAATGTAGAAGTTGCTTCCAGGGCAGATCCCCAAGGTACTTGAGTAGGACAGACACACTCAGCTCTGCCCACAAGGCCAAGGCAGGAGTTGGGGGAAAGAGAGAGAAACAGAGACCATAGGAGACAGACAGATGCAGAGACAGGGAAAGAAGGAGGAAGGAAGGGAGAGAGAGAGAGATAAAGAAAGAGATGGGGAAAGAGAGACAGAGAGAGAGAAAGAAATAGGGAAGAAGAGAGGGAGGGAGGGAGGGAGGCACAGACATTGATGAAGACAGAAAGATATGTGAGCATATAGACAGAGACTGGTGAGAAATCTAGTCAAGAAAAGAGAGACAAAGGAGAACACAGAGTTAAGGAGGAGGGCCAAGGAGAGAAAGAGCCAGCACCCAAATGAAGCCTTTTGAGTGGGCTGCTTAGTACTACTGGCTATCTCCCCTTCCCCCACACCTGAAGCCTTGGTCCCTCTGGACCTTGAGGCTCAGGCCGCCCCCCAGCTGCTGAGTTTCCTGGGAAATCTGGTTTCTGCTAATCCTAAGACATTTGAGCCATGGGCAACACTGCCCCACTGGCTTCTCAGGTTCTCACAGAAAACACAGAAGGGCACGCCACCCTTTCCATACCCAGAGTTGCATTCCATTTCCAATTCTCTCTCCTCACCTGAGTGGAATTCTTCTGAAACAAAGAATAAGGAGCTTAAACCCAGCCCATGCAACTTATCTTGGTTCTCCAGCCCTGCCCCAGGCATCTCTGCCTCCCCAAGAGCTCTTCTCCCCAGGGTCTTGGCCCACCATAGAGAGGGATTCAAGTTCTGTGACCCTGCCCCTCTCTGGGCCTCATTTTCAGCATCTGGAGGAGAGACCTTTGAACTCAGTCTTTTCTAAAAAGGTCCTTCCAGCTCTGGAACATGGAGGCTCAAGGAAGTTGGAAAGGGAAAAAAAACACATTTATTAAGCACTTACTATATGCCAGGAACTGTGTCAACTGCTTTGCAAATCTCTCATTTCTTCCTCACAACTCTTGGAAGGAGATGCTATTATTATTATTCCCATTTTATAGTTGAGGAAACTGAGTCAGGTAGCAGTTAAGTGATTTGCTCAGGGTCATACAGCTAGTAAGTGTCTGAGACCAGATTTGAACTCAGGTCTTCCTGATTCCAGGTTCAGTGCTCTATCTACCCAGGTGCCTCAAGGAAAGTTCTCTACCCATAGGGCAGTGGGAAGGATACAGCGTCAAGTCCCAAGAGGTCCTGGTCCAAATTCCAGCCCTGCTCATTAGGAATGTAGGTCAGAGCTAGAAGAGACCTCAGCAGCTACTGTCCCCTGTTGCCTCCCACTTCTTCCCTGTTCACCTTGAGTAAGTCCCTTCTCTCTGAGTCTATTTACTCCTCTCTAGAATGGGGGAGTCAGACTCCAAGGGCCCCAGGCTCCTTCCAGCAATGGGTCCCATGAACTAATAATAATAATAATAGAACAATAATGATAACTAGCATTTATATTGTGCTTTATGATTCAAAAAGCACTTCCTCACAACAACCCTAGCTAGGCAGGAGGTGCAATCATTATCCCCATTTTATGGATGAGGAAACTGAGGCAAACAGGTTGAGTGACTTGCCTAAGGTTCTACAGCTAGTTTCTAGGAGTCAGATCTGAACTTGTGTCTTCCTGACTCTAGGTCCAGTGTGCCACCATAACTGTCTATGAGCCTTACGAATGGGGCTCTGGGACTCCTGGGAGGGCCCTCCTCAGAGCTTAAGCTGCAGGGCCAAGGTCATTCTGGGGCACATAACAGAGCCCACTGGAATGTTGCTCCAGATGACCCTCTACGTGACTACAGATGCCAGAGATAGCATTCCATAGAGGAAAAGGGTCTGGGTTAGGCTAGGTGTCAAGATCCCTAGAACCAAGCCCAAACTCTGCTCCTAGCTCATTGTGTGACCTGGGCAAATCCTTCCCTTCTTCTGACTCTGGGTTTCTTTAGTTGGAGAAATAAAGGGTCAGATCAGCCTTAATTTTGAAAGGACACAACTCTTTAGAGCTGGAAACGACCTCAATGGGCATCTAGTCCACCCTCTCATTTTACAGATGGAGAAACTGAGGCTCAGGAAGGTGAAGTCACTTGCCCAGGGTCACACAGGCAGTTAGGAGCAAAGTGTGGATTCAAACCTAGATTCTTGAACTCCCAAAACAGCACCGTTGCCAGGCCATCATGCCAGTCTCCAGAAGGAAGAAGGGGACATGGGATGGAGAGGGGGAAGAGGCTGAGAGAGCCAGTCTAGTGCCCCCTTATCCAGGATGTTTTCCTGGCTGCTCCAGCTAGGAGTGACCTTTTCTTTCATGCCTGAGGGAGGGGACACAAGTTATGTAATCAATAGGACCAGGTTTTGGAAAGCTTAATCCCAGGGAGATTCAGGTTTCAGATAAGGCTGAGCCCTGATGAATATATAACTGGGGCCCTCTGGCAGGCTGGGCACCCCCTCCTCTAGGCACCATGGAGTTTGATGGTGTTATCACACTTTTTTTGGCTCTCTGTGTTCCCTGCCTTGCCATCCTCATCGCCTGGAAACGCATGCACAAAGCGGGCAAGCTACCTCCAGGGCCCACTCCCATACCCTTCCTGGGCAACCTGCTGCAGGTCCGCACTGATGCCACACTTCAGTCTTTCATGGAGGTGAGTCTGCCCACCTTCTTTCATGCAGCCACAGGGTTGGAGAATTTTAGAATTTTAGATACTCAGGACCTCCGGATATTAGAACCAGAATCCTAAACTCTTTAGCACTATGGAGTAAATTGCAGAATGTTAACATCATAAAGGTTTATTTAGATTTAAACCATAAGGTCTGGAAGAGACTTTAGAAATAATCTAGCCCATTCCCCACATTAGGGAAACAGAGTCCAAGAGAGGAGAGCTTGGGATGAAAGCCAGATCTCTTGACTAAGGATCTTTCCACTCTACCAGGCTGTCACCTGGGCCATCCTTTAGTACCGTGGTACCTTGTCCCTGAGTCCCTGCCTAGGAAATATGGGCTGGGACCTCCCTGCCTCACCTCCTGCTCTTTCCCCCCCAGCTCAGTAAGAAGTATGGGCCTGTGTTTACTGTCTACCTGGGTCCTCGAAGAGTAGTCGTGCTATGTGGCCATGAGGCGGTGAAGGAGGCACTGGTCGACCAGGCAGAGGAGTTCAGTGGCCGGGGGCAGTTGGCTTCCATTGACCGGAACTTCGAGGGTCATGGTGAGAGATCCCACTTCTAAAAAGTACGCTGACTGTCAAGTGGTTATGATAACCATAATTCCCTGCCCATTAATCTGTAGCTTAGTAAAAGGTACAACCTTTCTCCAATACCCTCAAGAACCAAGGGAAAGATGGCCACCACCCTAGAATTAGAGCTTCCTTCACAGGGGTTGGGTGGGGATTTTTTGGTGGGGAGGGAGCAGGCATAGGAGTGTAAGACTTAGAAGTGGGGAGGACGTCAGACCCTCCATCTCCCAACACTGGACATTTTTTTCCCATTTCATTTCATTTTCTGTTTCAGATTTGCTCCCTACTCCATTTACTCCCCCACCCATTAAGAAGGGGAGAAATACAGAATGACTCTGGGCATTTTTATTAGCTGTTTCCCTTTCCTGGAATGCTCATCCTCCTCATCTCTGCCTCCTGGCTTCCCTGAAGGTTCCACCTTCAATAAGAAGCCTGTCCTGGTCCTCCTTGATCTTACTGCCTTCCATTTGAGAGTCACCTAATTTATCCTGTCTCTATCTCAGTTGTACATGTGTTTGCACGTTGTCTCCTTGATTAGACTGGATTGTCTTTTGTCAATATGTGGCTTCAGGGATCCATTGCTATTTGAGTTTGACGTCATTAGTCCAGTCCCTTCATTTTAAATAGGTGGCACCATAGTGCATAGAGCACCAGGGCTGCAGTCAGGAAAACTTGTCTTCCTGAGTCGAAATCTGGCCTCAGACACTTACTAGCTGTGTGATCCTGGGCAAGTCACTTAATCCTGTTTGCCTCAATTTCTTTATCTGTAAAATGAGCTGGAGAAGGAAATGAGAAACCACTCCAGTATCTTTGCTAAGAAAACCTCCCAAAAGGGGTTACGAAGAATTGGGCATGACTGAATAACAAAAAGAAAATGCAAGTTTTCAAGACTGAGGCTCTTTGCCTTGGGTCCTGGAAGCTGCTCTTTGTCCTAGGCTGAACCCTCCACTACTCAATGATGAACTCTATAAGGTGGGGACCAGACCCTGTCATGGAAAGAGTTCTGGGTTTGGAGACACTAGGCTTGGGTCCCAGGACTGGCTCAGCTGC